CAAAAAGCAAAATCTCAAACAGGATATGTGTTTACTTATGGAGATACCGCAATATCATGGAGATCGATGAAGCAAACTTTGACTGCCACATCATCAAATCACGCGGAGTTGATAGCTCTCTACGAAACAGGTAGAGAATGTGTATGGTTGCGATCAATGATCCAACATATCCAGAGTGGGTGCGGTATAGAAACAATTACTAGTCATCCGACTCCTATATATGAAGACAATACTGCATGCATTGCTCAAGTGAAAGGAGGTTACATCAAAGGAGACCGGACAAAGCATATATCACCAAAGTTCTTCTCAACACATGATCTCGAGAAAGATGGAAAAGTTGACATCAAGCAAATCAAGTCCAGTGAGAATCTCGCTGATTTATTTACAAAAGTGTTACCCCCGAAGAAATTTGAAGAACTCGTACACAAGATTGGCATGCGTCGCCTCCGTCAATTATGCTAAGCTGAGGGAGAGAATTTTATGAACTGTACTCTTTTTCCCTTGATCAGGTTTTTATCCCACTGGGTTTTTCCTGACAAGGTTTTTAACGAGGCAGTACATAAAATTAGAATGGGTTCCTAAACTATACCCATTTCACGAAGTACCCATCATTAATTGAAAATGAACATTCAAGGGGGAGTGTTATGAAATTAATGATTGTTCATTTATTCAATTAATCAGACATAATTTCCAGAATAGTAGATTAAGACACCCATTGATGAGGTTCAATTTAGTACAGTCCTTTCCACTTGTATTTGTATCCATACTAAGCCTCTCCACTATAAATAGAGGCTTAATCCCTGCATTGTAATGACCATTAAGTATAAGAAGAAGAATGAAGAGTTAATAGAGAGAAGAAATCAGAAATATATTATATCCATTCTCATAATCTTTGAGTAGTTTTTCTCTCATTTTATAACAAAGGTAAGGTATTCTTTTAGTAATACAGAGCTAAATAAACTTTATATTTAAGCAAATGAAAAAAATATACTCCGTATATTGCAGTCATATTTTATGGGATATGTTTCTTATCTCAACGATAATATTTCTTTGATCTTCTTCGTGACCATAATATGCATGATGCCAAAGCAATTGTTATGCCGTACTCGTCAATTCGTCCATAATGTTATATCTCCATAATGTTATGATCAAAAGTAGAATCACATTTTTCCTATAATACTTGAGCTTCACTTGTCTTGATATTGTTTAAGTTGTGAATAAGTTTTTCTTAAAATATGCATCCTCACATTATATTGTCACTCATTCACCGGCGGTTAAGTGTCTTTTACTTTTTATATACTCCCTCCGTCCACAAATAAACTTTACGTTGCGCGTTACGATATTTGACTGAAGTTATTTTCAAATCATTTTATATGAAAAATAATGTAGAATTGAAAAATAAAAATTATATATTAAAAAACTATATCAAAAGATCTACAAAACTATAAGTGACATGACTATATTACTTTATCAAATGGGTGACGAAAATAGGCCAACAAAGTGAATAAAGTTTGATCATGTGAATAGTGAACGTAAAGTTTATTTGTGGACGGAGGGAGTATATAATACGGAGTACTATGAATCATTGAGTTTTTTCTGTCATTAACCCTCAAACTCTCTAAGGCAAAATTGTACTTCGTATTTTATTATGCTAATATGCAATATAAATTGAGAGTAATTGGAGTTCAAAGTTTATCCATTTTGACTCAAAAAAGTCAAATTGGACAAATACACTAGGACGGAGGTAGTAATCAAAATACAACAAACATTGTGACCAAGATACAATGTTAGTCATAACTTAATTTATTTATGTTGGTATATAAAACATTTTGGTACTTATTGTCAGAAGTTTGAATTTTTTTTGAGTTGGTTTGATAATACAATACTCCCTCCGCCCTATTTTAGATCGTCCGTTTTGACTTTGAGACATATTTAAAGAAGAGAAAAAATAGAGTTGGCTTTCTGAAATTCTCATTACTTTTTATGAGGGATGTCGATGAATGAGAAGATAATATGGAGAAGAGCAACTTATTGTAAAGGTCATTTAGGTATTTTACTCTTAAAAATTTACGATAACCAGAAACAGAAAACTTATTTTAGAACGGAGAAAAAAGGAAAACAGGCAATCAAAATACTAGTGGTATTGGTATTGGGGCAATCAAAGTGTACGACCAAATATGGATAGTACAAGTACAACAATGGTGAAGTACTCACTAATTTGCAATGGTGCATCCTCTATGAATGAAATTGTGTACTGCCTGCTAGTACTTGTTTCTTCCATATACAAATATATACTTGTGTAGGTATAAAGAAGGAACAACATACTTACACTTAAATCATGAGAGATGGGATTTTATGCATCTTCTTTGCCACAAGCTCAGTGCCTTAAAGCTATCTAGAGCTTAGAGATACGATTGAGTGCAGCGTTGATAAATGTGCAATGGCCACGTCTATATACTATATGCACAACCATATTCGTGTTATTGCTTGCAATAATTCATCAACATTGCACTCAATCGTGTCTTTGAATCTCTGAAAATTTAGTTTAGTTTTTTTCTAAATAGTTTTAAACTGGAGAGTGATTGAATCCACTGTAGCTAGAGTATGGAGGTCATTTTTGCCAGGTACTTTAGTTTAGTGTTTTCTTTCTCTTTAATTTTCTTATACTTTTCAATTTTAGTTTTTTACTTATTTTTGTTTGGAGTATTAGCTTTTTTTGGTCAATTAAATGAAATATTTATTGTATTTTTTAAATCAAGTACTTGTATTTTTGGGTCATTTATAGCTCTTTTTTCTTTTTTTAATTTTGCATTATGTCAATGTATTTTAAAATTCTATTGTTAATATAATATGTACTCCGTCCGTCTTAAAATTAATTTCTCATTTGACTTTTCACGATCTCCGATGCGACACTTTGATTATCAATATCTCAATTTTTATATAAATATATTTTATAAAAATTATATATTTCAAAACTATGTTTCAAAATGAATCTATTACTAATAAATTTATATGAAAATTCAATTCTTTTTTCCGTAATAAACGGTCAAAGTTTAAAAAATTTGACTACAAAAGTCAAATTGAAAATTTAATTTTAGGATGAAAGGAGTATATAATGTTTTTATTTCAAGTAATTTTAATTTTAATAAATATAAATAGTGAAAAAAAATTAAGCGTGATCTACACTCATGTAGTGTGATGAGGTGTAATGGAAAAGAGAAAAATTGATGTGACGCACCAAATGGTCTAATAGTTAAATACTTATATTATTAACTTCACATCCAATATTTCGCCACAATATGTGACCTTTACAACATTTGCAATGATTCCAAATCTGCCTCCCCAAAAATCAAAATAATGGAATGATATCGTCTCGAAAACTCACAATTCTGTTTTTTCTACAATATTTATCATTTTTATTTCAAAACTTGTATAAATTTAATACAAATATTTATTTGTTAATAAAAAACATAAATAATACTTCCTCCGTCCCCCTAAGATGTTCTCATTTTGACTTTTGGTGATTTTTAAGGAGAGTTGAAAAAAGGTGAAA